CCCCCGCCAAACTTCCTGCATCTGAGCTCCGTCTCAGACTCAGAGTTCATTTCCCCAGAAACTCATCAGCAGCAATGCCCCTTTCAGACGTGGCCTCAGTCTAATCCACATGGGATGGATGAGATAGGCCTGTATCAGATAAATGGAAATTATTAAGAGCTTATGACATTTCTTGATTTGTATCCACCAAAGAGATTTTTAAACAGGGTTCCTGGAAGCCCCCTCAGGGACTGTTATGGGGCATGGAGGGGACTTATTCTGAACGGATAAGGCAGGCCTGTCGCTCTCCCTACGTTAATCCAGATAGCTCTGCTTCATTCCAGCTTCACGCACTGGGCGTCTGTGTCCAATTTTGCCTGAAGAAAAGTTTCTGCTGTTAAAAAAAAGTTTAAAGATCGCTGGCTTAAATGATACAATAATGCTAAAAATGATGGTGATGTCCTCTGGGCCAGGTGCGCTTCTGCACATGCCACAACTTCGTTCGTCTGATCCTCACCTTGATCCCACAAGGTCAGCCACGTTGTCACTCCTCATCTTATAACTCAGGACCCCGAGGCACAAAGACCTTAGCTGCTGGCCCCAAGACGGTGTAGCTGGGAGCTGCTGCAACTAGGATTTCAAGTGGTTTTGTGGGGTTTAATCTCAGGAGCTGATAGAGATGCATGATGTAGGGTCACGGCATCTAGAACACAGCTGGTCACAACTCTCTTGAGTCCATTTAGAGGCGAGCACCCAGCTTTTTTTGAAAATCAAACCTAGCAGATTTCTCTCTGCTCTTTGCTGTGTCTTCTTTCCCTGGGATCTCGAGTGACCAGGGGCTCAGCCTGAATGCGGGGTGGGGGTAGTGGGGAGGAGGAAGGAGCAGAAAAAGAGGCTTTGAATTTTAAATAAATTATCCCAAGGCCGGCCCCGTGGTTGAGTGTTTAAGTTCGCGTGCTCTGCTGCGGCGGCCCAGGGTTTCGCCGGTTTGGATCCTGGGCATGGACATGGCACCGCTCGTCAGGCCACATTGAGGTGGCATCCCACATGCCACGACTAGTAGGACCTGCAACTAATATATACAACTATGTACTGGGGGGATTTGGGGAGATAAGGCAGAAAGAAACAAAAAACGATTGGCAACAGTTGTTAGCTCAGGTGCCAATCTTTAAAAAAAAAATTATCCCAACAACCCCCTGAGAGTCCAAAGCCCTTATTTCTCAGGTGGGGACCTCGGGAGGTGACTCGTCCATGGACATAAAAAAACTCAGGGGCTTCCAGCTTCCAAACCAGGCCAGAGTTCTGTCCACTCTGCTAGGCCAATTTCTTTCCTTTCAGAAACCTCTAGAACAAAGACAAGGCCTTGGTCCACGACCCCTCGCCCACTAAATACCAAATCAAGTCTAGGGGAAAAGTCTGACCTAAGGGCACTGCCCGGGGGCCTCCGCTCCCAGGAAGCGGAGCTCAGTGGCAACTGCCAAACTCCATGGAATCCAGCTTCATAATGTGATTTATTTAGCATTAAACTGAGGTCCTGGGACCTCATCAGGAAAAGAGGGCAAAGTTTCTCAGGGTCCCCGAGGGGAGAGGCTTCAGCCGAGTTTGGCCTACATTTTCCCTGAGGACCAGGAGCAACAAAGATAACATGTGGGATTCTGCCAGGCGGGCCTCAGCCGGCTGCCTGCAGCCTGGATCCACGGCCCCTCCCCGCGCTCCCTGCTTCGGGGCTGGGCTTCAGCTTGGAGCTCCACACAGAGTGAACGAACACGCGGGGGGCGGGCCTTGGGGTTCCCAGACAGGAGCTTCCCCCCAGCCTCCTTTCCCGTGTGCACATGTGGAGCAAAGAAGAGGGCGCCTGATCCAGAAAGCTTAGGTAGCCATTTGGTCTAGAAAAAATGACCAGGAGATTCATCTACTGTAGGACTCTCATTTCAGTGTTATTTGAACGTCTCTTTTCGTCCATTCCCTGCGCATCCCGGCAGGACTCCGTTTGCTGTGGCATTCTTATACCACAATATGGAGACATTTTCTTTGCTGAATTCCTCTTAGGACAGAATTGTGTTTCTTGGAGACAGTCCTGCGAGGAAGGCAGAAGTGATGGGACATTAACCAGCTTTCTGGTCAACCTCTTTGTCTCATGCTCGAGTGTGTGTAATTTCAGACAAAGATAAATAAGCCTGAGGTCTGGAGTAGGCTGTGCCACCTCTTCTTGGGCAGATGCCTGATTTCTGCCGGACTTTGGCCATATTTGGGTGAGATGAGGGGCCTCCCATCTCCACCCCCTCACACACACTTGCTCCTGTCCTCGTGGCCCTCTTGGGAATGAGGTGGCCCAGGCTGCATCTCTGTAATCCACAGGGAACCATCCGCTGTGAAGATGTGCAAACCAATGGCGTTCTGCCTTCTCTGCCTTACTTCCCCACTGAATTACAAACTTCTTGCGGGTGGTCTGAAGCCCATCTCTTCTGTGTCCTCCCCCCAGACTGCCCTGGATTGAAAGTCACTCGAGACCAATGGGCTCCTTCAGCTGACTGGGTTTTCAGTCAGAGCTGTTCCCACAGGAATCAGCTTTGGGACACAGGCAGGGTCCCTCCCTCTGGGAAGCCCAGCTTCCGCATCTGGGAAGTGAGGATGGTGACCCCAGCCTGGTCTCCCTCCTCCATGGGACAAACCCTGATGGCCCATCCACTGTGTGCAGGCGCCATGTGGTTGCAACCTGGTGTGGAGAACATGGGCGGTGACAGAGAGAGACAAACGGGGGCTCCCCAGAAGGGAAGCGTTGTGTCAACATTCCGTGCTCGCGCTTAATCGCCTCAGAGGAGTGTTGGGCCCGAGGGTCCCTGGACCCCCCATATCACTTCCAACACTTAAGAAAAGCCCCATATTTTCATCCATCCCACAAATATTTACTGAGCTCCTTCTGTGTGCCAAGGACTATTCTAGGCAGCAGAGAGACAGCCCTGAGTAACTCAGAGAAGAGCAGGCAAACCCAACCACATAAACAAAAAGACAAAAATAAACATATCATGGGGGAGAGAATGTTATAAAGTGAGCAGAGCATGTTATATGGTGAGTGATGGTGAGTGCTGTATTATAAACTGATAAATGCTTTAGGGAAGTTAAAGCAGAGAAGCGGGTTACCGGGTGCTCCAGGGGAGGAGGGGTGTAATTATAGGCATGCCGGTCAGGGAAGGCCTCCCTGAAAAGGTGATATGGGAATGAAGGCTTCAAGCAGATGAAAGAGCAAGTCATCCAGATATCTGAAAGAAGAGCGTTCTGAGCAGAGGGAACAGCATATGCAAAGCCCCTGTGGCGCCCGTGATGGAAGTGTACCTGGCAGGTTTGAAAAACAGCAAAGAGAGCAGTGAAGCTTGACTGGAGGGCAGGATGAGTGGTAGGAAGTGTGGCTGGTCAGAGAGGCAACAGGGCCAGATCATATCCAGCTCTACAGCCCCTGTGATGATGTTGGCTTTTGCTCTGTCTCCCTTTTAGCATCGCAGTCCTTCCACAAGCTGCAGGAAGGGAGCAAGAAGGGAAGAGTCCAGCCCCGGGCTGACTGCTCTGACCATCTCTCCTCCCCACAGAAGGCTGGAGCTTACAGAAACCCCACGGAGGCCCAGCCCGGCCCCTCTTTTCCTCCACTGTGGTGGGCCAGGTCTCCGGGTAAGCTGACTTTGAGACACAGATGTGCGTGCCGGAGGGTTGTTGCGGGCGCTCTTAGGAGTCAGGAAGAGCTCCTGTGAGGGAGTGAGAGACTAAGACGGGGCAGAGCGAGACACTGAGCAGTGATGCGGCCACAACAAAGGCCTCAGCCAATCCCATGAGGAGCTCTGGAGCTGGGATGGCCCTTTGGGGAGCCTTTGGATGTGGGCTGCCCCATGAAGGGGGCATAATGTGGGTGAGGCCACTCCCTTCAGCTGAGGGCAAGTTCTGAAGAGCGACTCACAGAGCCGCTGGCTGCAGCTCTCGCAGCAACTGGTGAACGGGTCCTCGGTTCGGAGTGGGCTCTGGGCCGCGCTCATGGCATCGCTTCACCCACCATGCTTGTATCTGCCGCACCAGCTGGGCCCCCTGCCTCTCCTTGCACACCTCCAGTGTGTAGGGGAAGCTCAGGTAGGGAGCCAAGGGGCCCGTGCAACTCAGACAGCTGGGAGTATAGGAAAGTCGTCATTATGTATGAAGAATCTGCTCACTTCGAACAGCTTAGCTGCACGGCTCGGGCAAAGAACTTTAACCTCAAGGAACCCCAAACTCTTGGAAGGGTGTGATGGAGACAGCGACTGTGGTAGGCTGACTAATGTCCCCCCAAAGATGTCCAGGTTCTAATCCCGGAACCCACGAATACGTAAGGTACGTGGCAAAAGGGACTTTGCAGATGTGATCAAGGGTCTTGAGATGGGAGATGGTCCTGATTATCCAGGTGGGCCCACTATAATCACAGGGTCCTTATAAGAAGGAGGCAGGAGGGTCAGAATGAGAGAGAGTTTTGAAGATGCTGCGCTGCTGGCTTTGAGGATGGAGGAAGGGGCCACGCGCCAAGGAACGCAGTCTCTAGAAGGCAGAAAAGGCAACGAAACACATTCTCCCCAAAAGCCTCCAGAAGGAACCAACACCTCGATTTTAGGACTTCTTAGAACCGTAAGATAATAAATTGTTGTTGTTTCAAGCCACTAAGTTTGTGCTAGTTTGTTACAACAGCAGTTGGAAACGAGTAGTTGCAATTAATGCAGGATTGTTGCAAGTGTTACATTTCATCATAAATTTATACAATAAATCTAAATAGTGTGATGGAAGCTCTGACACACACACGGTGCTTGGTAAATATCTGCCTCGTTTCTTTTTCCCTTCCTCAGACTCAGTTAGACTTCATCTGCCTGCAGCGCCCCCCCATCCATCCTGACGAGGCCCCTCTGTCCTGGGGTCACCAAAGCAGACGTGAATCCCAGTTCACAAAATCAGCAGGGTAAGAATATGAGGTCTCTATTTTCCACAAATCAACTTCGTTTTTATTAAGAGCCCCTTTCACTGAATCTCCATATTATTCATTCCTTATTTTTAAAAATCCATTTTTTTCTGAAGAAGTAGGTACATGGACAGGTACAGAAGTTTGTGCAGAGAACAGCAAATCTCTCCCCTGCTTCTGGACCCCAACCCTCTCCCAGAGGGAGCCGAAGGTATCAACTTCTTGTGTATCCTTTCAGACAGATTCCATACACATGGCTATGTGTGCCTTTCTTCCTATTTTGACCCAAATAGTAGTATATTACACGCCTTGTGTGTATGTTATACACTTTTTGCCCACTGAAAATATCTTGGAGAAATTTCCATAGCAATACATAAAGAGCTTCCTAATTGTTTTTTCCAACTGCATGGTATTCCATAGGGAGGTACCATTATTGGTCTTGATGGTATTTCACTTATTTTCATTCTTTAGCTATGCAAACAGTGCTGCAATGAACAACCTGCACTCCCGTTGCCTTGTTCACACGAGCGTGCATCTGTACAAATTTCCAGCCACGGACCTGCTGGCTCCCAGGGGGTGAAGATGTCTCTAAGTTTCCTGCCATGGAAATTAACACTCAAGGTACAAGATGGTCTGTTTCTTCACTCCTTGACAAATCAGGGCCTTATCAAACTTGTTTTTGCCATTATGAAGAAGGAAAATTGTATCTTACTTTAATTTGAGATTTTCTTATTGTGAATGAACTTGAGCATTTTTCATATGTTTAAGAGCTGTTTGTATTTTCTTTCCTGTGAACTGTCTGTTCATATCCTTTCCTGACTTTCTACCGGGCTGTTGGTCTTTTTCTTATTAATTTGCAGGAGATCTTTACCTATTAGAGAAACTAGCATTTGAGAAATAGCATGAGTTTCAAGAATTTTTGTCAGGTTATTTGCCTTTTGACTTGTTTCTGATGCTTTTCCCATAAAGACATTTTTGATACTTATGTATCTAAAAGTATCAATCTTTTCTTTTCTGGTTTCCTGGTTAAGTGTCCTACTTAAAAGGCCTTCCCAACTTTAAAATGATAAAAGAATTCTCCTTGTGTGTTCTCCTAATATTCTTATGGTTCCTTTTTTACATTTAAATACTTGATCCATTTGGAATTAATCCTAGTACAAAGTGTAAGTTATAGACCCCAAACTATTTCTTTACTCAGTTAATCCTATATCATTTAATGAATAATTTATTCTGCCCCACTGATGTGAGGTTCCACTTTTATTGTTTACTAAACTTTGGCATGAATTTGTTTCTATTATAGACTTCCTATTTTTGCTCCATTGGTCTCTTTATTTATTCATACACTGCATGTGTGTCATTGCTGTAATTGCTGTAGCTTTATGATACGTTTTAATATCGGATGAAATCAATTCCACCACTCTCATTACTCCTCATTTTCAGCATTCTCCGGCATGTGTTTGCTTGTTTATTTTTCCATGTGAACATTTGATTGAGCTTATCTAGTTCCTGGGGGGAAAAGTCCTGTTGGTATTTTTTTATTGGTAATTCATTAAATTCATGGATTAACTTGGAGAATAATTACATGTGTGGGATACCAGGTCTTCCCCTCTAAGCCAAGGGGTGGCTTTGCATGTGATAAAGTGATAAAGTCTTCTTTTGGGTCCCCCTGTAGGACCTGAATGTTGTTTTTTTAAACAAAGGTCTTGCCCATTTCTTGTTAAGGTTGGTCCCCCCATTGATCCCTGGCGTTTCATGCCATCCTGTCGCCTCTCTGAGTCTGGGGGCTTGGAAAGAGTCTGAGTGTTCAGAGGTGGGAAGGTATGCGGGGAGGGAGGGCTGTGTTCCCGCAGGTGACAGTGAGAGGCCGCGGTCCTATTGGCATGGCCCCTCTGTGTCCAGCACCTTCTGTCTCCTTCCCAGCCACACGTGAGTCCCAGGGATTCCCGGTCCCCAGATGACCCAGGCAGCCTTTCTTCTCTGGGGTCTTCGGGACTCCCTGGGCATCGCTGAGCCACAGAAGCCGCCACCTGCTTGAAGAGGTGGAGGGAAAGGGAGAAACATAGGCAAATAAGGCATAAATGAGCATCCAAAGGTCACCAGCCTCACGTTTTTCCCTCTGTCCCTCCTGTGAGTGGAGCCGGCCCCGACACTCGGTGTCTCCCCTTCCCCTTCAGGTGCTGCTCCAAGCCTGCCCTAAGTATTTCCGACAGAATCAAGCAGCCAGAGCTGAGCACTCGTCCCCTGAGGGCATCCACAAGGCTCTCCAAGGTCAAGGTCCTGAGAGCCTTGGGAAGCCACGGTGGAGGGAGCAGAGGCAGCTGCTAGCAGGTGGGGACAATTCAGTGTCCACCAGGCTCTGAGATGAGCGGGGCCAGCAGGGTCATCATAACGCACAACTCCAGGGGGCGCTGTTCACATGGCGCACACGGTAAATGGTGCCTCCTCGAGTTGTGCAGCCACTCCAGTCCCTAATGATTTATCAAATAAAACAAAAAAGAAAATAGAGGTTCTCTCCGACAACGGCTGAGCCTCATCATCTCTCACATTTGCATTATGCTTTGTCATTTATAAGGAAAGCCTCTTCCATTTCCCCTTTAATTCTCAGATTGGCCTTGTGGAGCAGGCAGAAGAGGGATTAATATTCCCGCTTTGTGGAAAAAGAGACTGAAGCTCAGAGATATCAAGCAAGTGTCCAGAGTCACACAGCATGTCAGAACCTACAAAGTTCAGCAAGTTTACCAGCTTACACGCTGTGCCCTTTTATGTAATTATCCATGCACATCTCTGTCTCCCCCTGCACTGAGTTCCTTGAGGGCATAGCTATGTCCTTGCATCCCTGTCTTCCCTGCCCCTGCAGGTGTTTGCAAATGCTTACGTTGAGGAAACTCAATGCAGATGGAGTCGCCACACTGGGGAGGCTCTAGCACCGTGGAAGTAACTGATGTCAGGATGCGGTGGGCACACTGGGGCCTCGGAGGCCCATCCACAGCCTTGACCCAGGGCAAGCCTCTGGAAAACAGCAATGACCACAAATACCATGGAAACACAACCGTCTTCCCGGCACTCACCACCATATCAAATTTTCTTGTTCGTTTATTTTCTTACTCATTCTGGTGACTCCTCATCCCCAGAAGTTAAGGTCCAAGAGGGAAGAAATTTCCTGCCCTGTTTATCACAGTATCCCCAGCCCCAGCCCTGAGCTTAACACAAAGTCGGTGCTGCACCATAAGCATTTGCTGAATGAATATATGAATGACCGGTTATAACCAACGCTTGTGAACCCTTCATAGCTTCTAAAACACATTCTCACATGTGCTAGTTAGTAATTGCCATATAGCAAACATCACCCAACCTACTGGCTTGAAATGACAATGTGTTATCACTCCTCGCAGTGCTGTTATGTTGGTTGGGCACTAATATGCGGTCCTCACCTGGGGTCTTTCATGCAGTCAGATGCCAGCTTAACTGAGCGGGACATCCATGGGACGTCACTCACATGGCTGGCAGGTGATGCTGGCACTATTGCCTGAGCGCTGACACGTGGCCTCTCCACGTGGTGTGGGCTTTTGACAGCATGACAGCTGGATGCCAAAAAGAGGCACCCAAGAGCAACAATTCCAGGAGCTCCGGGCAGAAGGCGCACCTTATGACCCATCCTCGGAGGTTCCAGAACGTCAAGGACATCTCAATCTATTGATCAATTGCACCCTTCAGATCAGTCTGGATTCAAGGAACGGGGAATTAGACTCTACACGTGCGTGTGCAGCAGCACGTGTGTGGGAAGGGAAGGAATCGGCAACTTTGATGACTATCTACCACACCATCTATCATTTCAATGTTCGTTCATTTTCTTCCCCCAAAATGTTTATTGAGCGCCTACTCTGGGTGCGCTCTCTAAAGGGCTCTGGGCGCACAGCAACGAGCCAGACAGTTGTGTTTCTACCCTATGCTGGGGCTGGGGCTGCTTGCTCTCAGATTCATTCTTTGCCCTCCCTTGCTGTGCTCTGTCTCTCAGGAGCCCCTGCCAAGGATATGGTCCAGGCTCCCTTGCCAATTGGCTTCTAGCAAGGCAGGGGGCACTGGGGGGAAATTAGAAGATGAGAGGAAGGGAGGAGCATGGATGCCTCTCCCCACCCCTCACTGCAGGCAACATTTTCAGCAGAAGCTGAATCTTGTCTGTGACCTCAGCTCCACCGGGCAGCCCTGACTCCTGGGGTCTGGAGACACGGCCTCATCCCTATGCTCACCTTCCCTAGGAGTGGTGGCAGCTTCCTGCTGCTGCTGAACTCTGGGTGGTCTCTGGGTTGGCTTTTCAGCTCTTTCCGCATCCTCATAACAAATTCCCTGTATTAAGTTCCCTCTGTTGAGCTGCCTGGCGTGGATTCTGTTTTACCTCCTGGAGTTTCATTGTGGTTATTTCATTCACATAACCAACCTAAGAGAAAGGATTTTTATAGCCCCGTTTTCCAGAAGAGGAAGCTAAGGCTCCTTATATGGCCTGTGAGGAGAGGACCCAGCCTCCTTCTCTGGCTTAGAGCAGCCATTTGACATTCTAGATTTCAAATCCAAAATCAATACAGCAACCCCATCAAACACACATTTTAGGATCAACTGCAACCTGGGCAGAGCCTGAGTTAAACTCCATCTCTGGATGGACGCTCCCTCATCTCTTTGCAGAGCCTCAGCCTCCCTCCACACGCTGGCTCCAGGCACATCATTGATAAGGAAACTCACAAGGAGGGGTCTTTGAATTTCTTCTCCAGCCGCACCTCCCCATTTCATTGATATGGATATTGAGGCTTGGAGTGAAATATTAGCCCAGGACTTCAGGATTCTCACCTCCAGATCCAGCCCCGTGCTCCTTCTGCCAAGGAGAGAGGTGGCAAAGCAGAGGGTCTTAGACTCGAAGACCTGGGTTCAAATCTTGGCACTGCCACCTCTGATGGGGCAGCTCCAGCCGGTAAATGGAAAAGCTTTCGATGCCAGGAGAACCCAAAGTGCTGGAGGGCTGGGCAAGCCCCCTGAAGGAGTGTAAGACACGAGGAGGAAAGGAACCACAGTGACTGGCAGGGGTTCCCATGCAGAGGGGGCAACTTCTATCAATCACGGCCGTAGGGAGCAGGGCCCCAGTGTGCACAGATCTGCCCATTGTTCAAGAGGAGCCTAAATTCTTTTTTGTAAAATTTTCCCATTTTCAAAATACTGTGCAGGTCAAAGAAAGCCCAGCTGCGGGGCATCAGGCCCTACAGACTGCCAGTTTCTGAGCCCTGCTCTGAAGAGTTACACAGAAGTGAGAGGCCCACCCCCACCCCCGCCCGCTTTCTGTTAGCATTAGTCATGGGGGTGGCCTGGTTTCCTTTTTCTTCTCCCTAGACTACAAGTGCTCTCTGGGAGTCACTGTTTTCTCTCCATGGCATTGTAAACTCTCTTCCCCTCTTAACTTTCTCGTCCACAGGTAGCTCCCATCACAGAGCCTAGGGCCGGGCGGAGGGCGTGCACGGGGAGGGCCAGGTGTCACTCCCCTTGAAGACCCCGGGCAACTTTCTACATTATTTTTATCTTCTGGTCTGTAACCCACCCGATTATATACTGATTATGAGAATTCTTTCCATATTCACAACTTACAAAGGACGAGGAAGCGGTCCAAGATGAAAAATAATACGCCGTCCCTAAGTGTGAATCCGCTACAGTCTGGCTTTGGTTAAGGTGAGCTCCTTTAGAAATGCCTTTCTACTGTAAACACTACAGAGGAAAGGGGATGTCCCCTATCTGGGCAAAGCGATCCTCCGATTTCAGCCTGAGGCTCCCCATTCCAACAGGAGAACCAGACAAGACTCATTGAGGGGGAGGAGAGAGACAGGAGGGCGTCAGAGTGAGACGGGCATCCTTCAGCCAGCCTCCATGGAGGCCAATAACCAGTCCGTCCACCAGGTTTAATGGTCCTGGGTGCTCCTACACGGACACACCCCAGTCCAGGAAAGACAGGATTTCAGGTCTCAGAGGAAATGGAGAGATGAGCTGGTGTGCCCCCACCTGGAAAGCCCGGAGGACCTGCTCCAAGTCCTATAATTGGAAAGTAGGGATGCTGGGATGAACTCAAGTCTTTGATCCACAGCTTTCTCCTCTTTCAAAAGCCAACATGTCCCTCTGATGCAAAGCATACCTTGGCCTGATTTGGGTTGGGTGACATCATTCAAATAAATCATTTGTTTATGCAACTTTAAGACACTGCTCAATACTTGGTCTTGGATGGGATGTTGTGGACCCAAACGAGGGATAGCCTGACCCCCTAGTCCAGAGAGGAAACAGACATGGGACAAACAGTTGCCCCAGAATGCCTTGGTGCCATTTCTAGAAGTCAGGGAGGGCCCAGGAAGCTTTGTAGAGGACCTGCTTCGGCTGACTCTGGAGAGGTGGGTGGCCGCTGGCCAGGCAGGGCTGGAGGATGGGGAGCTCTGGGCTGAAGGAGCAGCCAGGCAGAGGCTGGGAGGCTGTGCAGCCTGGTCCTGCCCAGAACAGCGAGAAGCAGGAGCCGAGGCCCCCTGAGGGTGCAGCCTGCAGGGAGGGCCATGTGGGAGAGAGCCCCAGGCAGCACGGGGAGGAGGGAGCCTGTACGAACTTCCACTCCTGCCTCCTTTGTTGGGGACCAGCCCATCCTGGCAGTCGACCCCAATGACCCACCTCCCTCTGGAGGCTTCCTCAGCCGAGAGGACGACATTCAACAGAAGAACATGCTCTTGTCAATAAAGAGATGGAGCGAACGACAAGGAAGGGACGGGAGGAAACACCAGGTAAGATTAAAAGGCGGAAATAACATTAAAGTGCGTGCCACCACACAGCAGGGGATTTCCCAGGTGCCCCCGTCGTGAGCTAAGAAGTAAGAGTTTGAAACCCAAATCTGCCACTGGAAAGCTGTGTAGCCTGAGACGACGTGGGCTCTTCCTCGACGGCAGCTGTCATCGCTGAGCCAGGCCACAGACAATTACAACTTAATGAAAAGGTTGAAAGGGGATTCTCAAGAGATGAAACTATAAAATAAGCTTAAACGATTCAAAGAAACCAAATGGCTCATTTAATGATTTAGGCCTTAGGAGAAAAGGGAATAAAACCCGAATTTGAGTTTTGGTTTTCTTGTTTCTTTTTCGGCAAAAAAATGAAGCAATGGGGCCCTCATGGTTAAGTTTGGCATGCTTCACTTCAGCAGCCGAGGTTCAGTTCCAAGGCACAGGCCTACACCACTCATCAGTGGCCATGCTGTGGCGGCGACCCACATACAAAATAGAGGAAGGTTAGCACAGATGTTAGCTCAGGGCAAATCTTCCTCAGCAAAAAACAACACAAAAACAAAGAAACAAACAAAAACCACTACAAAAGAAAAGTGAAGCAATGGACATCGTGTAGATACAGCTGGTGGTCATCAAGGTGAGGCCGCTTCCAGACCTGCAGACCCTGGGGACTCTCGTCCCAGGAGACACAGGGCAGTGGGGTAGAAGGCAGGACCCGTGGTGGCCACCACTCCGGGATTAGGGATGGGAAGAAGACAGGACCTGCACACAGGCCCAGGGAGCCCCCAGGCGGCTCCTGCCTGCAGCCCAAGGGACACAGCACAGCCTCTGCTCCCGGGATGAACCTGAGCCTCCCCAGCCAGCATCAGGACTCTGCTGCAGCCCCAGGGGAGACTGCACAGGTCCCAGCTGAGCCAAGACGGAGGCATGGGGTGGAGGACAGCCCCACCTTCCCAGGACACAGTTGATGCGCCCTCCTGAGTGACCCACATATTCCAATAGGGCCCCCCAATAGTGGAGGGACAATGGGCTTGGGCTTCCTCAGCACACTCACGGGTCCTCCCTCTGGGCAGGGTCCCTGAGCTCTGAAGCCCCGGGACTCAGGGCCAAAGTCTGTTCCCCTTCCCCAATCCTAGGCCGTCTATTCACACCACCACTGCCTTCTTTCCACCCTAAGGCAACTCCGTCTTTAGGTCTGTCTGTTCATGACAGCCCCTTCCCCACTTTAGCAGGTGGCTCTGGTTTATGGGAAGGAAGATGGATAGAGCGTTCAAAGGAATCTAGCCGTGACCCTGACAACCCCCAGCAAGTTCTGCCCCCTCTGTAGGCCTCAGTTTCCCCATTTGCCAAAGGAAAGGGCTGGACCTCCTCTTTGTCCTGTCCAATTCTCTGAGTCAGCAGACAGACCCTCCAACCCCACTTCCTCCATCAAGGCCCAGAAACAAGAGTACCCCTCCTGGTTCTGGGGCACACATCCCCCGGTGGGGTACAGGTTGGTGACCCCCCTTCATGGCCTGCTTGGGACTCATAGGTTTTCAGGATGTGGTATTTTTGGTGCTAAACCGGACAGTCCCAGGTAAGCGAGGACAGTGGGTCACCCTAGCACAAAGGCGTGAGGATGTTTTTTACGCATCTTGCATTTCCAGAGAGGAAAAAAACTGTTTTCTGGCTGTTTTTCAGGCCAAACCATCACCAACAACTCCTTTAGGGGAAAGACGACAAAAAGAAAAACACTTTGCTCGTGGTCAAATTAATAGCAGTAGCATCTTCACCAGAGAGGGAAGCATATGGGTGTAGTGAGACATAAGGTAAAGAAACCTGTGAGCACGAATCAATCCCACATCCAGGGGCTCTCAGCAGACAGACACCTCCAGAAATGAGCAAGGCCGGGGAGGTCTGCCCAAGCGGCGCCAGATAAAGGAACCAAGGGCTTTTAGCTGCGAGAGGAGCCGTGTTGGACCAGCGGCCGGCGGCCGTCTGTGCCTGCAGAGCTGGGCATGGAAAGGGAGCAGACAGTTCCCCGAGGACCCAAACGCAGACCCAGACGATGGAGCAGAATCGAAACAGAGAGGTCTTCGAGTCCCCTGTGCCCGCCTGTCACCTTGGGCACCACGTCTGACATGTCACGGGCGCACCGGAAATGCGCTGTGAGGGTCAACTACACGCCGACTGGGAAGACTAACGTCAGCAGGAGAATGTGAATACCTCCTTACTAGGTTTTTACGTAGATTCCATGGTGAAGTAATGAGATTTTGGATGTGCCAGGTTAAAATATTTTATTAAAAATTAGCTCAATCTGGGGCCCAGCCCTGTGGCTTAGCCGTTAAGTTCGTGCGCTCCGCTTCAGCGGCCCAGGGTTTCGCTGGTTCAGATCCTGGGTACAGACATGGCGCCGCTCATCAGGCCACGCTGAGGCGGTGTCCCACATGGCACAACCAGAGGCACACACAACTAGAATATACAACTGTGTACTGGGGGGCTTTGGGGAGAAGAAGCAGGAGGGAGAAAAAAAGATTGGCAACAGTTGTTAGCTCAGGTGCCAATCTTTAAAAAAAACCGAAAATTATCTCCATCTGTTTGTTTTTTCCTTTTCGAATGTATCTATAGGAAATTTCACGTTTATTTGTAAGGCTGTATTCGTTTGCTGGAGCTGCTTTAACACAATTGCACAGACCGGGTGATTTAAAGAACAGAAATCAATCTTCCCACAGTTCTGGAGGCCGGAAGCCCCAGATCAAGGTGTCGGCAGGGCTGGTTCCCTCTCTGGCTGGGAGGAAGACCATTCTGTCCCTCTCTCCTAGCTTCAGGGGGCTTGCTGGCGATTTCAGCATGCCTTAGCTGTTAGAAGCATCCTCTTCATCTTGGCCTTCATCTTCACGTGGCATTCTCCCTGTATGTGCGTCTTTGTCGAAATTTCCTCTTTTTATAAGGACACCAGTCATATTGATTATGGATCAGGGCCTGTCCTGATGACCTCATTTTAACTTTATTCCCTCTGTAAAGACCCTCTCCAAATAAAGTCACATTCTGAGGGACTGGGGGTTAAGACTTCAACAAATGAACTTGGGGGTACACAATTCAGCTCGTAACAAGGGCTCACGTCATATTCCTGGTGGACAGTGCTGCATTCGGCCATAAATAAGCTCCATGGAGGCTGGAACCACAGTGGGACTTGACCACGTTCAGAAGCCAGCCCAGAGCCCATGCGAGACTAGACTCAGAAGCGAGCTGGGGAATTAACTGACAAATGCAACCCTTGCTGCCTGAGTCTCCTAGAGGCAGGACGGGCCATTTAGAAGGTTGTGTGGGAGAGAACACAGAACAAGGCTCTGGAGCTGGACAAAGGCCACCTTTGGTGAGCAGAGTGCCCTCGGGCAAGTTGCTTAATCACAGGAACCTCAGTGTTGTCTGTAAAATAAGAAAATCCATGTCTACTCCCAGCTGCGTAGATCAGTGCCTCTCCAAGCTACTGACACACGGTAGTCATCAGCCTCAACCACTACAAGGAGTGAGGCACCTGTCACGGGAGGTGTTCAAGCAGATGGATGCTGAAGATCTCTTCTCAGGGAGGCTGAATTCCGCACAGGAAAGGGGTTTGGGTGCCATCGTACCCTGAGCCACCCTGTACAAATGAGCTTCCCCAGGCCTTTCCTCCAAATGCCCAATCCAACTTCTCTTGGTCCCCCAAGAGGAAGAAGGGCACTGATGCGCACTGAGCATGGGCCCCATGCATCATTAGAAACCACCACCTCTTATGCCCATTTAACAGGTGAGAAGGCTGAGCCCCAGGGCTGGCCCTGCACGGCATCACTGGCAAATGGCGGCACCAGGACGAGCCCAGAGGTTTGCCCAAGCCCTCAGCTTTCCCCTAAGGTCCTGGCATCATAATTCACTCACTTGAGCAATCACTCAGCACCTCCTAGGTGCCTGGTGCCAACCTTGGTCCTGGGGAAACGAAGGTGACTGGCACCCAGCTCATGCCACCGAGAAGTTCCCAGTGTGGTGGGAAGAGGCTGGGACGTAAACACACTGTGATTATCCTGACAACAAAAAAGCAAACGCTTTTTCAGATTCATCGTGTGCCAGTCGCTGTCCTAAGCACATTTAATTTTCTCAACAACCCTGAGATAAGGCCACTCTTGTCCCCATTTTACAGATGAAGAACTGAGGCACAGAGAGGGGAAGCATCGCAACAGAGGTCATAGGAGCAGGAGATGGTGACACCAGGGATCAGAGCCGGGTGTCCCGGTTCCGGAGTCTCCCTCCTCCCGCTGAAGCGCTCCAGTGGGGGAGTCTGAGGCCTTGGCCAGGAGCGGGCGTGGATTCTGGAGCCCGGGCCTTTGTGTCCGCCTTAAAACTTTATCCAAAAAGCCTCAGTGTCCTCTCTCTCCATATACGGTTGGGTGGGGAGAAGAAAGAATCAGAGTCTGGAAGGGCCCTGTGTTCGTGTCCTGCGGCTGCTGTAACAAACCCCCCAAAACCAGGCGGCTTCAAATGACACAAACTTATTCTCTTACGGTTCTGGAGGCCAGAAGTCCCAAATCCATGTCTCTGGACTGAAGTCAAAGTTTCAGCAGGGCTGGCTCCTTCTGGAGGCTCCAGACGCGAATCCGGTCCCTCGCCTTTTTCAGCTTCCGGTCCCTCGCCTGTTTCAGCTTCCGGTCCCTCGCCTGTTTCAGCTTCCGGTCCCTCGCCTTTTTCAGCTTCCGGTCCCTCGCCTGTTTCAGCTTCCGGTGGCCACCTGCGACTGCTCCTCCTCCACCTTCAGCGTGCGTCACTCCAGGTCTGCCTCCCTCATCGCCCTGCCACCTCTCTGGCCACAGCACCCCCCCCACCCCGCCCCACTTCAGCCAGGATCATTTTCCCACCTCCGGAGACGTGACTTCAGCGTGCCTGCACAGTCCCCTTTGCACATAATTCACAGGTTCTAAAGATTAGGACCTGGGTATCCTTGGGGGCCATTATTCAGCCTGGTACAGGCCCCTAAGACTCCTCATTTCAGAAATGGGGAAACTGAGTCTTAGAGCATGAATGTGGATTGGTTACAGGGCTGAGTTGTGGGCTGCCCGGGGCTGGGAGGCTGTGCCCACCTCTGGGTGGGGCAAGAAGGCGTAGAGACCACAGCAGCCTCAGAGGACGGGGTGGGAGGAGACCACTCATGCCTGCGCTGCCCTTTCCTCTGGGCCACGGCAGAGGGCGCGGAGGTGTTGGGACAATGTATGTCTAAGAGCCACCCAGGTGGAGCACATGGTAATTCAACGGTTTTCAAACACCTCAGTCTCAGGACCCCTCTATAGTCTTAAAACTTATTAAGGATTCCAAAAAGCTTTTGTTTATGTGGAACATAACTACAAATATTTGCCGTATTAGAAATTAAAATAGACAGATTTAAAATATATTTATTAATTCATCTTAAAATAAACATAAACCCATTATGTATTAACAGAACATTTTTATGAAAAAAAAAACTATTTTCTAAAACAAAAAAAACCTAGTGAGAAGAGCAGCCTTGTTTTATACTTTTGCAAATCTCTTTAATTCTGGCTTAGCAAAAGACAAAATTCTCATATTGGCTTCTGCATTCACTCTGTTGTGAGATGTTGCTTTGATTGAAGTATATGAAAAATACTCCGCTTTGCCCAGATACATAATTGGAAAAAGGAGGAGTATTTTAATTGTCTTTTCAGATAATTGTGGCTATTTGTTTTTGATATTATACCCCAACTCAACAAATGTTAGGTTTTTTAAAGTTTCAATGTGGAATCTAAAACCGTATCAATGAAATTTTTGTACTTTGTTATACTAAAAACCAGTGATATATCTTGCATTTCGAATGGATCTTTACTCATGGACATCTTTGCAACATCACGAATTGATCGCCTGGAAAATACTGATTCACTGAAGTACACAGATCTTCGAAATGTCGACACATTTCATTGTATAACATGAGACAATCACACGCATTAATATCACCTCCAATCGAACTTTAAAAAGTCTTCATGTATTGGGAAGCATATAATCATGAATACAAGTTTTCCAAAATTCCAATTTTCCCTGGAAAGTCTGAGGTTTATTATTGGCAACAAATACTGCCAACTGTTTTCCATGAAGTGACAGGCTCACTTTCCTCTAGTTCCCAGAAAATGCTTGCCAAATGCCCAACCACATGAATAACCATAGTTTACTTATCAGTTGTACTTTCAAGCAAAAAATGGGGTTCTATGAAAAAAGTAACTAGTTCAACTGACAACTCACGCATGCTTCTGTGTGTCAGAAGTTTTGGACGCACACTTGCTAGTGAGCCACACAGAATGTTCAGGCGGTGTGTTCTCAAGGGTGAACGGTTAATAAAATGAATAGCTTTTACTGCTTCTTCAAGGATATCCTTAAGCGAAACTTGCCTTTTCTGCAAGTGCATGGCAGTAAAGCACACAGCGACGGCTGGTACACTTGGCACCCCCGCCTCGATTCACCCCAAGGTGCCTGCAGGTCCACCCACCATCGGTTTTGCAAATTCAGTGCAAATGTCTACAGAATGCAAAAGGCAGGTCACATCTTGGTTTTATTACGGAAACAGTTTTGACCTAGCAGACTCCTGACAGGCTCAGATGTGCCCCAAGGGCCTGCGGACCACACTTTGAGAATCCCTATGTAATTCAAAAGATGTGGTGGTTCTGAGGTTCGCCTTCGACGTCCGTCCACGTCCTCCTCTGTCCAGAACCCGCCCTTTCCTCTCACCCCCCCCCACCCCCACTATCTCACTGCTTCCTCCTGGTCTGGGCTCCCTGTCACAGCCTGGATGACCCCCAGCCTCCTTTGGCCATCCATCCGGCACTGCTCCAGATTCCGGTCTCTCCCTGTCAAAATATGCCTGCCCTACAACCCGCTCCTTCAAACTCCACGGGCTGTAATGGTCCCTCTTGCCCAGGAAGTGTAAGGTCCCAGAGTTCCTGGGTTCAGGTTCCAGCACCTCCACAGTTAGTGGCCTTGGGTAACATGTTTCACCTCGCCAAGCCTCAGTTTCTTCATCCACAAGATCAGGATGAAAGAGGCACCTGCCCCCAAGAGTCTGTGCAGGAAGTTAGTGAGATAATCCACGTGAAGCGCACAGCACATGGAAAAGGCCCCATAAAGCTTCTCTGCTGTCTTTATTATCACCCTCAGGGTCTTCCAGTGCAACAAATGAGCTGCACAGGCCTCCAGGATTTCTCTTGCACCTCCTGACAGTCCCAGGGCAGGGGCTGCCTGCTTGTCCAGATCCCCAGAGCCCTGGGAGTGGATGAGGCCCCAGGAGAGGAGCGCAGGGCCAGAGCACTCTCATCCTCCACAAGCAAGGACAGGAGGGGTGGGGGCAAGTGCAAGCACCCACCTTGGACCAGCTATAAGTCCTCCTGGCAGCTTCATAAGGCAGCATGGGACCATCTAGAGCTTCCACAGCAGCCCCTGCATAGCCGTCCTTTGGCCCCATCAGGGAGTGTCATAGAACCTTCCATGGCCTTGTGGGTGGGAAGACGGTCATTACTGAACACAGGTGTCCCGTAAGGCTGGCTGCCCCTCCTGGTTCACACTTCCGGTGTGATCTAGCAGCGGGTGCCCCTGCCCATGTGGTCGCCTGATCAACATCCTCTTGTTGGCTGGCTCCAGCCTTGATGTAGGCCCAAGTGTGGGTGATGTGTCACTCCCCCAACCTCCACTCTGGTTCCAAGACACTTTGTCTTGTGCATGTCATTAATTCCTGCAAGAATAAGCTCTCAATTCCAAAAGAAAAAAAAAGGCTTGCTCCCAGCTCCACTCTTTGGCCCATCGTTCTAGAGCAATCTAGAGACCAGGCTCCTTGTCAGTGAAGAGCAGAGTCTGGACTGCCTAGGAGGAGCTTTGCTCATGCAAATGTGACATCGGGGGCTGGCCACTGGCACCTGTCGCTGCCTGGAGGACTGTGACCTGCTGGGGAGAGGGCCCTGGCATCATTTCCAGTCCCTTCCTCTTGCCAGGCTGCGGGGCAATAGGGGCGGCTGAGGTGAAGGCCTGGGGAGGCTGTGCAGGTGGCCCCGGGACAGTGGACATGGGTGTTCACCAAAAGCAGACGGCCTTCAGGGGAGAGGCTTTCACCCCATGGAAGCTCTGCTGAGCACTCGGGATGCTCCGGGCACTGGCCAGGCACCGAGGGGGGCTATCTCACTCCCATTTAACAGCAGCCCTGTGAGGAGGGTGCCATGATCACGTCCCTTTGATGAGGGGCTTCTCACACTGGCTTCTTTCCCCACGGCACAGGGAGCACTGGTCTTCTCAGCACCAGATCCCCTGACTCGCGGCATCTCTGTGTCCCCGGCACTCCACCCAGTTTCTGTGAAATGGAATATATGGGACCTGAGCTGCCCCTCCTTTCTTTCTGTGACATGAAGTGCTGGGGAATGGATACCCAAAGCTTTCGGGGTCTGGGGGTTTCTGTATCCAGAAAGGGGAATGAAGGGAAGGGAATCAACATTTGGGGGAAGGCCTGCTGTGTGCTAAAATGTCCAGCTAAACGCTTTTCTGTTTGAGCATTTAGATATTTACATTTAATCACCACAACAGCCCTACCAGGGGCTCTTTCTTATCCCTATTCTATAGGTGAGAAAGCTGAGGCTCCAGGGAAACAAATGACATGGCCAAGGTCACAGAGGAGCAGGTGGCAGCGCCGGGATCTGAGCCCAGCTCACCAGCCCAGGGAGGGAGGTGGTGCCCTTGGTCTTCCCACAGCATCACCTCAGCCTGCCTGGGAGGGTCCCCACAGCCGGGGAAGCCTCATCAGGGGCCCGGGCTCCTAGAATGCGGAGTTGGCGCCTTTTATACCAGCTCGTCTCCCAAGTTCCCCTTCTGCCTCGCATACAGTCGGCGCTTAACGAGCATTGACTGAACCGTTGGATCCAGGAAAAGGCAAAGAGGAAAGCTGACAGCTTTGATTTCAAATTGCGGTGGGACACGAAGTGTGCGTCACTATGAGCAAGGCTGTTTTCATTCCCCTCACCAAAGTCACCCACAAAATGAGAGGAAGCCCCCCACCGGCTCTTGGAAGAGCTCCCGGGCATCCCCGAGCAGACCCCGGAGGAAGCACGTGTAACAGCAACACGGGGTTGGGGCGGGCATGGCCTGTGCTTGGGCCCACACCACGGCAGGGGATAAAAACCAAAACTGGGGAAAGAGCCTCTTTCAGATCAGCGGGAGACTGAAATAGAAGCCTCAAGATTTAAAATGCTTTTCCTTATTACCGAACCGAGTAACACGTTTTTGGCGGAGCCTGGAATTTCTTAGCACTTGCGTCTCTGTTTCTCATTTTCAGTCTGGCTCTCAAAGGAAAGTGGAAGCAGTTAAATAGCCAGGTACAGCCGGCCGAGCAGGGGAAAAGCTTGCAAGGTTTAGATTCAGTTTGGGTTTGTTGATGAATACTTTTCTTCTTTTTTTAACATCTCCAGTCTTTCTCCACTTCTTCTTGAGGCCTCAGACTCACAAGACTGGCTTTTTAGCTAAAAGGGTCTGTAGAGACCGCCTGGTTTAATGCCCTCAATTTACAGAATGCCTTTCTAGAAGGCCCGGGGGAGGCGACTGGGCCAAGGTCACTCAGCAATTTAGGGAAGAGCTGAGATCAAAACCTTTGAGTCTGGGCCCTCAA